TACTAATTATGATTATACATCTATTTAAATGTTTAAAAATCCTAAAGAAACTAAAATCTTTAAATACGAAAATAGTAGTAAAGTTAAATCTTTAGCCTAATAGTAAGGCTATCTTAATAGTTCTAAAATAAGGTAAATATCTCAAGTAATGCACAAAGATCATAATTACATAAAGATTATATTCATTCTGAGATATATCTGTTATGCACTCCATATCCATCTTCCAAATCCCTATCAACCCCTAAAAGATAATATGAAGTGCCTTTATTTCTTTACTAGTTTAGTAACTAACATGATGATTTACCATATTAGCTTATATATATACATATATTTATATATATATATATATTATAAATAAATATGAACATTTACAAACCCATAAGATAAAATCGTTTATGTAGCAAAACCCATGAGATATATTCGTGTTACTTCTTACATTGAAACTTTTGCATATTTAAATAATGCATATACGATATTATGAAATAATGTTTTAAACATTTTTGAACACCTTATTCAGTTCTAATACCATAGACAATTATGAGGACTTGTTATTGAGCTATCTTGATCACTAAAGAGTAATACATACAGATCTAGTCTGCCAAAACAATTCCTGAGTTTTAAAGAACGTGAACAAGTACAAACTCATTAAACGAAATAATGTACGTATTACATTGTTTCATTTCTATTTTAAACTAATTTTTGGAATACTTTATCTAGTTCTGATACCATAAATAATTACGAGAAACTTTATATCGAACTACCTCGATCGTTAAGGAGCAAGGCATATAGAATGAGTCTTATAACTAGATAGGACTTTGCATAGTGAGGAGCAAACTACGTGGACAATGAAGCCGAAATGGGAAAAGATGTCGTTTGGCTGGATAAAACTGCTAGACATTTACATTTTCACTCAATGACGTCTGAACTTCTTAAGGCAGTACTAGAGATGGAAAATCAGGAAGAACTTTACTACAATAACACAATTATAATCAGGTAATCATAAAATACCAAGTAGATCTTGTTTGGTCGCCAAGGTTCTATGCAGCCAGGAAATGAAATGGCCAACTTTCCGAGTAGGGCGACCTCAGCCTTCATCTTTGCTATTTGGATAATCGTTCTACGAGTGAATCACTTAAGACAATTCAAAAGAGAAGGCATTGTACTATGGTTTTCACTCATTTTGATTTTATCATCCATATGATGTCTATCAGCCTTCACTAAGAATCAGATTAATCATGCTTACAAATTCTTAATTTAAAAATACATAGATTAATCATTATCTACCTGGTTGAATTATGATTTCTCTCAGACTGCTGTTGCTTAATTGATGCTCTCATCTTGCCTGCAATTTCAGTTTGTAGATACAGCAAATATAATTGGACAGACATCTAATAGTTGCATTCCTTTTGATCAGCATGAAATCAGCTATTGAACGCTACCATAATTTGAAACAGGAACAGAGACAATTACTGAATCCAGCATCAGAACTCGAGGTAGAGATACTAACTATTTGGCAATTTTCCTTCTGTAAATTTTTCAGCATATTTATAGATATATGTAAAACCATATATCAGAGTTCTTATCTTATTTATCAGATTGCTGAAAATTGGCATTCAGTATATGGAAAACAATAATTTTCCTCAACCCCCAAGTCTTTAGAATGCATAATGGAAAAACAAAGTGCATTCCCCGCAACCAAATTAGATACACAGATGGTTGCTAGCTTAATGTCAAGATTAAGCACCACAAAAAGCCTGTGGCACAACATGGGGGCCGCATAAACAACCAGGACAAACTTAACGTTACTCCCAGTAGTTTGGTACCTTAACTAAAAAAAGGTCAGGAATATATATTCCAAAAGTTACAAAATATATCTTCCTCCGTAGAAACAAACACTAACATAACATCATTGCAGAAATATAAAAAGATCCAGCAGTGGAGATGAGACATCAACCTTATTTAAATATACAGCAACTCCAGAGAGTCAGACATCATGTGTATGACTAATATACCGGTACAGAAATAGGAGAAAACTTGAGATATTAATTGCTCTAGTTATTGTGGACAGATAACAGAGTTTAGTAACAAACTACTCGTACAAAGAAGGCTAGATGAGTCCATATGGTATTACTAAAAGATACCATCTCAAATTGATGTTGATGTTTCTTTCTATTTGTAAAGCAATCTAATACAAGTTCTGGGTGATAAATCATTTTACTTTTCCGACTGCCATCTTACTTTGATGGATATTTCATTGAAAGCACTCTGCTTGTACTTCGTCACCACAAGATTACTGCATTTGATATTTTTCTTCTGTGATCTGATTCTGATACCTTTTCACTTTCCAGTTTTGGCAAAAGGAGGCTGCAGTCTTAAGGCAAGAATTGCAGAACTTGCAAGATAACTACGGGTACAATCTTCCTCTTTGAGCTTAGAATTATATAATCTTACAAAACCTATCAATCTTTTAAGTATAGAGTTTGAGGATAAATGCCATATAAAATAGCTATTAAACATCCTAATGGACATTGTAACAGCTTCATAAACACAACAAAAAGTTCTTAAAGAGGAAAACTAGAAGAAAGAAGGAAAGAAATTTATCTATTTACATGCTTACATGCTGTAGAAATAGCTCAACACTAGGAACAGCAAATTCATATTCTAACAAGGGCAACAGAAGGAATGAGATAGGTAACTAATAAGCATAGCAACTCCACTGTCACGTGCACCTTCTCGACTAACCAAGTTAGACAACCAAGGTTTTGACA